CCACGACCACTGCTCCACCACCTGCTCGCGGCACGATCTCGTCACGGAGACTTTGCCGACTACCACGAGAGATTCAACCACGACGATGCGCGGCTATCATGCTCATGTGGCCGGCGAAAAGAACCTAGTCATCTGTTCTATTGCCGAAAGATCCTGCCGCGACATCGGATGAGGCTGGCACCCTCACCGACTGCGGCAGTCAATCGCGCAATAGGCAGAGACTTCGACAAGTTTGTCAAGCTGGCGAAGGCAAGCTCGTTCTTCGAATGGGCGTGTCCTCGCCACTAGGCGAACTCCACCCTCCCTCTTCTCCTTTCCTTTGTTTTCTTGCATGGTCAATGCATGTTGAGACCCGTCCAGGCGGAGGGTGTTGCAGCACCCTTTGCCCGCCCGGGTCAATCGAAGCTGCTTTCGCAGTCTCCGACGACGGCCTCTCTCGAGGCCAGTAGAATACGGCACTTGGATGCCGCGCTTGGACGACCCGCTGACGGGCACCGAGCACGAATTGGAGCGCCTCCGAGCCGATGAAATGCTGGATGGTGGTTTGTTTACTTTTCGCGATGGGGTAGAGAGGGGATGCGAGGAGGTAATCTCTGAGAGACCCACTAGAACCTGTATCGATAACGTAGGACACCCCCACTAGCCCAGCACGTCCTGTGCCCAAAAGGGACCTGAGCGGCCTCACGGCCGCTGGACGGAAAATACACTAACTAACTAACTAAATGCTTGATGATCGCAAAGCTCCTTGCGCTGCTGCGTCGTCCATCGTCCAGTTCCTGATTTGAAAGATTTACGAAGCACTCTCGCAAAGCCAATACAGTACAGTGAAGCCCTCCCTAGCTGGTCATTTTGAATGAGTTCAAGGTGGGAAGAGGCGCTGAGTGATGTTGTTGATTGATAGGATAATGGCTTGATTAGGTTGACACATGATGAGCGATGGCCGCCCTCGATCTCTGAGGTCCCTGTCCATGAGCCGCCAGGGTTCTGTTGACCCTCCTTCCCCTAGCCAGGACAGCAGGGTCACGCCTGTGCGCCCCCTCCTTTTCAAGGGCATTGCGCCAGCCACAGCCCGACGACATTCCTTGGCGGGCGATCCTGCCAGGGACATGGAGAGCCACCACTCCCGGCACAGTTTCGGGTGGCACTTTTGCAAGATGTTGATTGGCGACGCTAAGAAGGCGTCTGTCACTTGTGAGTATTTCTCCGCCTCAACTTTGCCGACGCCAGAGTCGACACCAAGTTGCTGCAGCCACACAGCCATCTCGCATCCGTCGATTGCCGCACAACAACCAGGTGAATCGGAACGCGGCCTGCATGCTGCTGCTTTCTCCGCTTTCTCCGCCCTTGGGCATATGGTGGGAGCGCGAGGTCTCTTTGTGGCTGGCCCGTAGGCTGATGCCACGAACCCTCTTCTCCACCCCAATGTTTTTGCCCATAGTTCAGCTTTGCAGTATTCAGCTACTGTGGCAGACTTCGTTCACTAAAGGTCTTTGCTGAGCTCCATACCAAAAGTTGGAGAGTCCCAGGTCATGCAGCCACTGAGCTATTCGAGGGAGGTTTCGGAAAGCTTGGCAATGGCGCACGCCCAGGGACCATGCAGAAGTTTGACATGAAACCCATGTGCTGCCGTCGTAGATCCCGGAGTTCCCGAGCCCGTCTCTTGAATTGAGGGCTCTCCCCGCGGCCGCATGCAGCGCCCATTGATTCGTCGTCACGAGTTGTGACTACGTTCAGAGGCCGTCGGAATGTCATATCGTGGTGGCGCTAGCAAGGCTTGCTCGTCCAACTCGTGTCTCCTGGGTAAACAATGGCACCAGCCGTTTCCCCTCTCCATCCCCTCATCCTGTTCCCCCACGTCGTCCTGATCGGCCACCATGCGGGAACAGAGCCAATCACTCCATGGTGTCCTCAGCTCCAGGTTTCTAAGCCACCGACGAGGACACTTCTTGGTACGGAGGAATTTCTTTCCAAGCTTGATCGAGCTGCGTTGCCTGCTGCCCTCGGTCTACACCTGATTCAGGGCAGACTCTCGGCCCCTGGATGCTTCGTCAGCCCCAACAGCGGTCTCTTCCAGGACCTTCCAGGCTAAGTTCTCTCCATGATACATACGCTTTTCCCAGGCCGTCTACGACCTTGCCAATCGTCCAAGCGGTTTGAAGCTCGGCCTTGGGGCTGAATAGCCCATCAGACATCGTAAGTTACTTGTATACACAGGCGTAAGTCTGCACAATACATCCGCCCGCGGTCTCTAGTATGAGTGGTCAGGAAACGCCCCATCCCCTCCCAACTCGACACCAGACCACCAAAGTATTAGTAACACAGATATGGAGGTCTCTTTCCCGCACCACGCAGCATCACCTTCATGTCTCTCGGTTCTTCTGCCACTGGTAAGGGTTCACAACAGCTCCTCGGTGCCTTTCAATCAGGGTAATTATCAGTGCACGATCAGCTCCAGTTAACCCAACGCCGTCGATCCAACATTTCAGACGACCAGCCAAGACTGGCCCGGTGTGGAGAAGCAATGGCTCAAGGACCAACAGCATCACAACGTCCCCGACCCGAGCTAAAGTACCAATACACCTTTTATGCTCCACAGCAACTAGATCCAGCGATGCCCCTCAACGGGGACAGCAGAATAGACAACCCGCGCAACGGAGCTTTATACGCGGAACCAGCATCAACGTATGCTTTCAGGGCGACCTGGCCACGGCGTACTATCATGGCATGCATGTACTGCAGACAGCGAAAGGTGAGATGGAGCCCGTGATAGTTGAGCCACGCAGACAGCGGCTGACGCTTCTATAGATTCGATGCAGTGGCTTCCAGAACACTGTAGAAGGCAAATGCCAAGATTGTTTCTTCAGGAAGCAGGAATGCATTTTTCAACCCATCTCCGCAGACGTTTCTGGAGCTGTCCTAAAGTCCGTCATCACCAACCACGTACACGAAGACAGCCGCAATAGCTGGGCGACTGACACTAAAAATTCGGGATTCGGAGTGGAAACACTGCCTCCATTCCCTCCCACCAGCATCCATCATCCAGTACCACTGCAACATGTGCCCTTCTTTGTTTATACGAGAGAGGATATGGAAGATGGGAAGCCAGCGAAACGCCGCAGGACCATGCAAGAACGCAGCGTCAACCGCACGATGCCCATGAAAACCACTGTGCAGGCCGGTTCCGGGAGCATCGACTTCACGGGAACCACGCACGGCGACGTCGAGAATGCAAGAGAGAACAGCAAGATCTCGCGATGCAGCGGGATCTTGACTCCTGCGCATATGTCGGTTACCAGCACTCCACTTGTGTATTCGGACAGGTCTGAGGCCCCCATGCGACCCCTCTATCATGAGGAAGACAGACGCTCAAAAGTGCAACCCAAGTTTCCGCGGTCTCAAGCGTGGCGAAGCCGCAGTGCGTCGGTGATGAGCCTCCGCAACTTGGTCAACGACTTCGAGGCGGTGGCTGGCGGTTCTTGACCGGGCAAGGTGTAAGACCATGTTTCACCTGTAAAAACGTTCGGTGTCCCGCAGGCCCTGTAGCAGAGCCTGGGTGAACACGAAAAGCTTGTGATTTTCGATCTAGACAATTGTGAAACTGCCTTCTTGCTTGTGCCGACCACTGTTGAGGGGGTCCAGCCAAAACTGGACAATTTCAAACTG